TTTTGTCATGCGTCAGCCCGAATGGCAATAGAGAGAGCTTTCGGATTATTGAAAGGAAGATTTCGAAGTCTTCTAACAGTACTTGATATGGAACGTGTTGACATTATTCCTAGCATGATCTTAGCTTGTTGTGTATTACATAACATATGTTTACTAAGAGGTGATGAATTCGAAGATATCAATCCTAACAATGTACCTGAATCTGAAAATGTATATGGTAATAATATTACACATGCAGAGCTTTCAAATGCAAATCGACGTGGATTAATAAAAAGAGATTACATTTGTGAACAATTACAAATGCGAGATGTATGAAATAGTAATAAAACTTATTATTAAATCTTTATGAAATGTAAACGAAATTTGAGATTTATTTTCATTAATCTATATTTACATTCTATTATGATTTTAACTCAAGTGGTCGGAAAACAATTCCTGAATAGAATTTTTTTGTAAAAAATTCATGTAAATAAAGAATATATATTATTTACTTTTTTATTTTTATATAAGAAATACATTATTATAGTCTTTGGTTTGATTGCACATACATATAGTTTACATTAAAATTAAAAAATATTTATTCTTAACATCTGTTCGTAAAATAATCACAGCTCATTTTTGCTTAATAATATGTACATGCATGTTCACATTTAAATAAAATATTCTTAACATTTGTTCGTAAAATTATCAGTTGTTTTGCTTCAAATTAAACAAATCTTGCTTAATTAATATATATGTTTAAATTAAACTGAAAAAATATTTTTATTTTGTTAAATTTGATGCAATCTGTTTCAAGATTTCAATTGCTTCATTACGTTGTTTCATCTTCTCTTGGTGACGTTTTTCCCGATTCTCTTCCGATATTTGTTTAGATTTCTGTATTTCTAATAAAATATTAGTATTTGTTACTTGATTATTTGCTCGTTTAGGTGTAGGTTCTTCATTTAAATCTGAAGATTTCAATGATGATCGAATTCGCTTATTTGATGCAACATCAGCTAAACCAGTTGAACTCACACTTGCTACAGGTTGCATGAAAGGTTTATGGCCTAGTGTAAGTCATTCATAAGATTATAATATACCCACGATCTTGTATTATTTCCAGATTTCATATTGTGATCTTTCGTCGCTTTGTATGTTCTTTTTAGACCTGCAAATTTCGACATGCACTGTGGTCCACTAACAATGTAACCTTTCTCAATTAGTTTCTTGCTAATAGCATCCCAAACTTTTTTTTGTGACATTTTACCGGAATTAAAATCATCTTCTCTAATACGGTATTCTTCAATGAGTAACAAAATGGCTTCATGAGACCATTTAAATATCACATTATCTGAAGACTCTGAACTAGACTCAATTGATTGAAGAATTGCTTCCGATCCTTCGGACGAATTCTCTTTTTCACTTTCTATATTAGATAATACTGCAGCATGTTTTACTTCCTCAAGTTTTTGACTTGCAAAAACTAAATCTAAAAATACAAAAAGAAATATTTAGTATTGTATACCCACGCTAATTGATTCCTCGGAAATTTTTACAAACTCAGAAGTGATCACTTTTCTACATTAATGCTCACAGTCTTGAATTTTGAATCATAAATCGTGCAGGGACTACGAACATATTAATATAGAAAAATGATCACTT